AAAGGTGCAGAATGCCTCCTTCCCCGACGCAGAACTGCGCCTGGCTCACTTGTGCTATTTCCGCAGCTTCACAAATTCACATGTCTCATTAAAGACAGCCCCCGCGCTCGAGTAGTACATGGTCGTCCTTCCTTGTGCAAGTAGTACAGCCCCCAAGCTAGAGACTGTCCCACTCTATTCGACTCCACAGCGAGCGAGGAGCGAGCTACAGCCGCTGAAAGTTCTAGTTCTAACGCCTGCTCAGTTGGACCGCCTTACTTGCTAGATGCCCTCCGACGGAGGCCACTCAGTTGTTCTTAGTTGGGGCGGCGGGCATTAATCGGAATTGCATGTCCTTTTTGCTGACCGCGCTCGTGCCCATGGACAATTCTGCTCTCCAAGGTGAGACGTGTAAAAATCTCGAGTGACGCAATTTTCGGGTGCAAAAGCTCGGCGCACTTCACTACACTAAAATGTGCGCTACCGTAATCCCAAATTCGGACACCGAGTTTTTAAAATTTCTTTTTCCTTCCAAGAGTTTTTCCTCTGCGTTTTTGTTGTTTTTGTATTTTTTTTTGCACTGGATGATATCAACTACTGCGAGATGTGATAGAGAGATTTGTGAGCTAGGGGTTGCACAGAGACCGCAGGGAGGTGTGACTGTGAGGGAGCGATTTTGTTTATGGGAGGACTCTTCTTGTTTTTCTTCTTTGGGGGATTTATCAGCTACTGTTTCATAATTGAAAAGCAGCTATCCATGACACTTTTATCGCGGGAGCTGTCTTTAACTTGTGACCGCTTAATCGAAAAGATTCAATTAAAGGCAGTTGGCACGATGGTTTTGGCCTAAAATGCTAGTAGGGCGCTATATAGTGGGGAAATGGCGAAAGAACGGAGTGAAACGGTCAAAATCCGGCGAAGAAAAAGCCTCCGAGATCGGACGAGTTTCCCGTAGCGAGTTACCCCGCGTACGCATCGGGTTTGCCAAGTCACGAGTCTGCCCGCTACGAAGTAACGGCTACATATGTCGTCCATCAGGGCACTCGTTGGTTGGGGAATCCCCAACAGGGGGTCGTATTTGGCCGCCAGGAGAGGGGGGGGGGTCGTAGTGAGTGCGGCAGCCAGTAACGAGCAGCGCAAATTGTCAATGTGCTGAGTCCTGTACAACGAAACTTGCTTTGTAGAGAACTCGGATATGCAAAAAATAGTACAAAACTTTCATTCATCAAACTAATCCGAAATAACTGCAAATATTAATAATCGACATTATCTCGTAAGTCCGTTGGTGACTAAACAGTACAACTCAAACTCTGGTTCGCTGCCAATGATATGGCGTGTCCGCGGTCGCGCTTGGCGCTGAGCCAACCTGTTTTTTCTCGACAAGCGACAGGACTACCATATCGTTCATATCAGACGTTTTCCAGCAGTTTGGTCTCCTTTATCGGAGTCAGCGATTGGTGGAGCACGAATCTGGCAGCGTTGACAGGGACATGTTCCATCATACGCAACGGAAAACACTGTAAACAAGTGCACAGGCTCGCCATGGACCTCCCTGAACCTTATAGACACATTTGCTCGCGTGAACAGACATTACGCACAAGTTGCACCATCCCATCACCTCTGCGGCCCTCAGTGCGCGGCGCATCCAAGGCGTGATCGGCGTAACGAACCAATCCTGCTCCTGCTCACCGATACGTTCTACATGCGTTCGCTGGGCTATCGAACATACGCTGCACTACTTGAAACGGTACACAGGAAACGGGTTTTCGCGCAGCTGGGAGTGTTCCTCAAGAAATCCCCATAGCGAGATCTCATGAATCCCCGAAGCTTCAGCACCAACAGTTCAAGAGGTTTTTAGAAAGAGAAAATCTTCAAACACTCGAAACCATTCTCAGATTTGTGAAATGTTGAGTTACAAAAAAAATATATTGATTCAAACCTGTTCGGTTGAAACCACTCCCCAACGAATCCCTATGGCAGATTTCTCTGTGATTTTTGCGACGTTCATAAACGTTTTAGTACTTTTAGGAAGTGCAAACCTTCCTCTACACGAGTACGGTCTCCTCTTCCCCAAGGTGCTTTTGAGGAAGTTATGGTCCTTCAAACCTAACTCAGCTGGAAATTCTCGCTCCATGGCTAAAATTGCCGAATAATCTCCTGTCACAGCCGCAATTACATGCGCTTCTGCTACCGTACTCCAATAATCGGGGTAATGCATTTTACGGCGTTTGTATAACCAGACTTACGTAGTGAGACCATGCCTAACTTTCCTTCTTTTCCTCGTCGCTCATCTTGGAATGACTTGTTAACGACTTGGTCGCTGTGCCGCTCCCCAGAGAGGGAATTCACCGTGCAGGTTAACGAATGCTACCTTGAACTTTAATCGCCAATAGTTTGTTATTATTACCAATGTTGTTTCAAAGGCGGCCATCGGAAAGAAAAGTTTTTCTTCCCCGAAGTCCATCATACAGTTTCTCATAATACGATTGTACCGTTTTTTGTTTGCAATCATCTCTGTATTGTTCTATTATGTCATGACTTCAAGTCGTCCATTTAGTATGGGCACCTTCATACAAGTAGAATTTCATAGTGGGCGTTTCATAGTTTCATTTAAGGCGAAAAAAAAACCGAACGGCAAAAAAAAGGGGGGGGGAGCGTCTTTAGCCGAAGCCCCCAAAAAAGGGGGGGGGTCGACAGGCCCCCGACCAAAATCCCATCGAATGCTGTGGCGCCTGGTACGCCCATCATATTGTATGCAACATCACGGCCGCTTCATCACACTCTAATCCCGTTTGCTTCATAATCGCTCAGGCAAATGAATGATACCGACGTTTAGAAATGGTCGTCCGTTTGTGTCGGCGGGCGAGACGGCGTTTAGGTGCCGAGGACAAGCTTTTGCTCGATAGGGGAGGCGCGTTTAGGAGTACTCCTTTTTTTATTTTTTTTTTTTTATATTTTGGACAAGGCTCACAGAGCCCCTTGTCCAGGCACGGAATGCTGTTAGCCAGTCTGTATAGATCCTAACATGCTTGGCGATTTATCGTCGCCAACTGCCTTTAAAGGAACTGCGATTCCAGACAAGGGAAGCCTTCGCTCTCCGTGCCCGCCAAGGACCGATCAGCGCTACAGTTCAGCTGCGGCACTTCTTCTGCGGCACTTCTTGTTCTTTAGCCTTTTAAGTAATACGGCATCTAGGTAGGATTGGCGAGCCATGGGGTGAAGATTAGCCTAATTGCAAGAGGAAGGAGCTTCTTGCTGGGTGGACCGAATTTCGCGAAAAATGGTTTGAAAGTGAAATCCGTAACATTTCGTGGATTAACAGTTAGTGAACTTTACAGGAGTTTGCACAAAACTCTCTCCCTGCTCCGAAAAAAATCATTGAATGACATAACATCGAAGCGAAAATGAAGACATGAAATCATCTTTACAAAAGCAGGTGTAGCACAAATAAGCAAACCATTTGAAATGGAAGGGAACCTACATAGGTTGAGCTTTTCACCGGAATCGGCAGGCAAAGTGAAGCCGAGCAGAGCTAGAGCAGAGATCAACATGCTTGGTAGAACGAGATTGAACCTAAAAATATCCCGTACAATTGAGTAATTACCTGGGTCATGCCAGTGTGCACTTCCTGTCTGTCGAATCTGGTATCAATTAACCGATCTCGGAGGAATAGAAATGGTTGGTGGCTCTATTGGAAATCCGATTCGAGATTTAACACTCAGACTACACGTGCAACGCGGTGGCACAGAGAATGACAACGGATTTGTTTTGATTGCTCAAATGCTCACCCGTAGTAAAGCGTACGTCTTCTTATTGAGATCGTGAAGGTGATGTCGTAATAAGGTTCTGGACAACACTCATAATAGAATATCGATCTCTTCGAAGTGAGATCTGAAGTATATGCATTTGTATTAAAAACATTTTTATCAATTATTATTGTGTTATCGCCTGGCCGGCGCGACTTCGCCAGGCGGGCGCGACGTCGCTGCGCCTACCTTCTTCCCGTTTGGGAATTCAAATATCAGGCCCACCTTTCATCTGGGCACATGGTCGACGCTCCTTGACCAGTAACATCATATCTGCTATTTTCAACACTATTTCCGTGAACGCAGTAAGCGTGATCAAGTGTGCAGATGAGAGAAAAGCCGGTTTAGGGACAGCCCCCGCGCTCGAGTAGTCATGGTCGTCCTTCCTTGTGCAAGTAGTTCAGCCCCCAAGCTAGAGACTATCCCACTCTCGCGACTCCACAGCGAGCGAGGAGCGAGCTACAGCCGCTGAAAGTTCTAGTTCTAACGCCCGCCCAGTTGGACCGCCCACTTGCTAGATGCCCTCTGACGGAGGGCCGCTCAGTTGTTCTTTGTTGGGGCGGCGGGCATTAATCGGAATTGCATGCCCTTTTTGCTGACCGCGCTCGTGCCCATGAATAATTCTGCTCTCCTTTATTACATTTTATTCATTAGGAGCACATACAGTCAACTCCAACCCATCTTGCAAGGTAAAACGCGTAAAAATCACGAGCGACCCAATTTTCGTGGTGCAAAAGCTCGACGCACCACACTACACTAAAAGATGCACGCTACCGTAACCCTAAATTCAGACGCCTAGTTTTGAAAGTTTCTTTTCCTTTTCAAGAGTTTTCCTTTCATGTTTTGTTGTTTTTCGTATTCTTTTCATAGCATTAGATGATACACACTACTGGGAGATAAGGGAAATGTGAGTCAGGAGTTGCACAAAGACCGCAGGAAGGTGTGACTGCCAGGGAGCAATATTTTTGTAGTGTTCTTGAGGACTCTTATTGCTTTTTTTTTCTTGGGGAATATTATCATGCTGCTATTACAGTAATTGCAAAGGCAAACTGTCCATGACACTCTTATATCGCAGTAGCTGCCGTTTAAGTTGGAAGTGTTCATACATACGAAAGAAGGTACGCGCGGTGAAGATGGGCCGTTTCACGGAAGAAGGCGCCGTGGAGTCAGGTGGTATCAGCCAGCGAGTCGACTGGTTTCAAATGTAACTGTGACGACCGGCGACTAAGAGCATGACTGCTTATGCTACACCCTCGAAATGTAGTACCGTTTCGTGTTGGGAGCACGCTGCGCTCCGCCCATCGTGAGCGGGTCTCATCACACCGTAGACACACTCAACTCTCGCCAGACGTTCCTCCTCCCACAATTTTTGCTGATCTCGAAACTCCCTCAAGGATTGAGTTATTGAGTTCCGTGGGGAACACCACCCATTTTAGGCACGTCGCACTTATTTCGGATGTATCTTCCCCAGCCAGTCTGCACCTCTTGCTAACCTCAATCAACTTTTCCCCTATCTCTGCACTGTTCTGTAACTGAATTATGAATTCCTATCTGCGACACCCGCCCAACGTTTCGGCGCTGTGCTCCGCTGCTGTGGCGGGCTTATCGTATTAGTTCTGTGTGCCCTCTTTGCATCCTTCTCACCTCCGAACCTGACCTCACCTCTCCTGCTGCTCTTCAGGGGTAGAACCAAATTTCTGGACAGACAGACAGACATTAAAGACAAACAAACAAACAAGCAAACAAACATACAGACGTTGCAAATTATACATGGGAGGCCCAAAAAAACTTTTGTTCATTGACTTTCGAGGCGCTATAAGTTACACTTTATTTAATTCTGATCGGACATTTTTACCACCATATTAAAGGGCATATTAAATATTACACTCCGCCACAGCCTTCTGGACGAGCGCCATCGAGAGATTCTGGCACGCGACCGCGATGTGGTGCCTGAGATCAGCGAGATAGTCGATTTCTCCGCCACCGTAGACCACCCTATTGAACTCCGCCGAACCGGGTAATTGAGGGATTTTAGGTCAGGTGACCTACTTGGATATTCCATCTTCTTTAGGTACTCAGCCCCCTTCCATTCCAAGTAGGCGAGAGTTTCTCCAACGCCCTTCCATTCCATGTGGTGGCACCCAATGCCTGTTAGCTACTGACAAATTCCAAGAAGGTAACGGCGACGACATGTGCCAGGAGGATATTTTTTCTCGGGGTTGCTCGATGTGACCGTTCAAGCGCTCATTTCAGCCGCGGGGCACGAAAGAAAACAATTCGGTTCTTCTCCATTCCAGGTCACGTCCGGTCCATACCTTCAACCGCGCCTTGGCGACTATGGTGAAGATGATGTCCTAGACCGTAGCGACCTTGTCGGAGCTGCTCGATGTTGGAGGTCTTCCAAACTGAGAGTACTGGACTCCAGGTAGTCATCCATAAGTGACTCCATACTAAAATTTGCTGCTTGGAGGTGACATGAATTCCAAAGATCTTCTCCAGTCAGGCTGCGACTGGAGATGACCTCATATTTTGGTGTACATGAAGGTGATGGGCGAGGGCCAGCTCCTGCTTATCGAGGAACATCTTGGGTATCTTCCGCCCTGGTACTCGTATCCACATCTTCTCTCTGGGCTGCGAAACTTTGCTGATATGTGACTCGGCCCTCGAAGTGCAACTCATTTTTGCCCCGATCGGCAAGCGGACTCACATCAACTCGCCACACCTTCGAACATCGCCCTTCCACTCCCGCGACCTACCTCACACACCTCTCAACTTCCAACCTCCATTCGCCCACGGCAAACCAGCAGTCAAGACAGCACGAGATACAGACCACGACACATCCCTGCACCCTATCGCCGGCCCAGAGCATTCCCTTACCATGAGCATCTGCCATCCGGCTTCCCGGCCCTCCGCGTCACTTGCCACCTCCACGGGATAATTATAATAATAATAATAAAGAAGAACATAATTGTAGTACCATACAATATTTAACAGAACACAAAACAGATAAATAATCAATATAAGATATCCAAAAAATAAACAACAAACACATAACACATAAGATTAAACGAATAGAATACAACTATATTACTAGCAAGAAGCGTCTCATTCGAAGGGACACGTCTACGAGGTGTTTATCCGCGCGTCTCTGTCCCTTACCAATCGATCGCCGCCTGTATTGAAACTAGTAACTCACCTAACAATTCCCATTCACCATTCGGTTGATATGTACCAACGGAAACGGAGGCGTTCCGTAGATCCGTAAAGAAACCCGAATATGTCCATGAGCCGAACTTCATCGAACAGTGCTGGAAGGGAATATATAAAAAGAAATGCAGTTAGCACTCAGACATCGACATTTCGAGATTTCACGCAGTTTTACTGCCTGGAGTTAAAAAAATTTGGATTCGGATGAACGGTAGGCAGTGCCAAGCAGCTCTCGTGTGTCCCGTGGATCAAGTCCCAACCAGGCCTGGAAAGCGCTTCGCATGCCTTTCCTGGAAAGCCACTTGAGTGGCACCAGAATGGAATCAAACACGCAGCCCTTTCTCACGAATTATCGTCTAGGTAGGATATTTGAAATCTACTGGAATTCTGCATGGAAGTCATATGCTAGGCGCGCAAAAGATAGTGACAAGACAAAAAAAGGGGCAAAAAAGTAACTAAATCTTTCCTTGAGTAACACCACTCTTAAGTGGGTCCCAGCTCTCATCTTCTGCTAGGGCTATCTGTGGATCATTTTTTTCAATGTAAGAAATATGTAATCGCTTCTAGGTGAGAAGTTTCCAGAGCAGCATTAATTTTCCTTTCCTGTTTCGTCTTTTACCACTTCTTCGCACTCTTTTATTCTGTTCTCTTTTTCCCTTTCTTCTACTTCAATTGTTCAGTTGAGTTTCATGAAATTACTTTGATTACCTGAGAGTCGAACGGAAAATAAGCTATGTCGATACTGCAGCTGGAACGAATTACAGCCGGAGGAATCCATGTGACATTGCCAGAACTAAAATGGAAGAAGCATTACGGTAACGCTAGCAACAGCACATTACGGGCCCAAAATCCTCATCTGCGAGGATACCTACTTCAAAGCAATCGATAAGTCTTTTGGTAGGTAGGTCAGTAGTTTTCTTGAGGTCCAAGTGAATAAGCAACGAGTCGTATCGTGGTCCCTACTACTAATAATTCCTTCGAAAAAGGTCTCACTGTGCTTCAGTCTTGCGAATCTTCCTCAAGGGACTTTGGAGCTCAGTTTAGGAATCATCAGTAGCACGAAGAAATCGAACTTATGAGCGCGCAGACGACAGCGCCGCGCACGCGCATTGCACTAAAGGAGCGACAAGGATGCCTCGGAAAACATTCTCAGATTTCACGACTAGTTGCTATTGAATAGCGCTCGTAAAAACTGAACTGAATTCAGTGGAAAATGCGAATGAAAAGTAGCATTTCTTTTTAACGGGAATCCAGTCTTCTGAGTTTTATATCTGTCTTACTTATAACACAGGGTGGCTCGAAAGAGCGTGAAGTACCACCCTCCCCCTACCCCGCTTTTTTATGCACTCGCATTAAGAGCAAGTGAGCAGCATAACCGTACATTTTCACTTTGTATCATTGTTTATGTACCGTTATGAGATAGGCCATTTGTTTTTATGCGAACTTGTATCACTTCGAAAGTTATTGCAGAAACTGATCGCACAGCCTGTACAGTTTGAGGAGTAGAGTTCCCCTCTTCGCTACTGTTCACTCAATATAAAGTGAACTGCCAGGAATGCCAGATACAGCGGACTGCTGGGCATATTGAGGGATTGTCGCAGTCAAATAAAATATCTTGAAGGGTTAACATAGGCACAGTGGTCAAGCGATGTTCAGCTGATCGCCCCGACTAAGGAGGATCCTTTGAATAGAAAAGTTGCCACAGTGAAATTATTTCAAAAAGGATCATCATTCAGAACAGAATATCCCCTTTAAGTCAACCCCCTGTTATCAAAGGAGTCAAAATCATTGAGGTCAGCTGTAAGCAAAGTCACCCACGGATTTTTCCTCTAACATTACTGGGATCCCGCTCGTGAGGGGATCCAGCCGCTCAAGTATAGTCATGATCCCTGATAACAAAAGGCAGTGGATAACAGAATGAAGACTACGTTCTTCATTTCGTTTTATTCTAGTGGTTGTCATGAGACTACTGTAACGTTTATCCTGTTATATTTAGGCCCTAAGCGGGCTAACTCAGTTTTGTCATCAACTCCTAGACGAATCAAAAGTCTGTGGATCAAAGAAAATCGACAAGCAATTCATAAGATAGAAGCTGGGAACATCGCCAACGGTAGGCGGAGTTTGCTTGACAAGGGTGGAACGCGAAAGTTCAAGCTTCGTTTCCGTGATGGTTCAAAAATCAACACTGTAGCTAAGAGGCTCTGGTGCCAACTATCTTACATTCATGCCAGAATAGGTGCTGGTGAAGATTGAACTGAATGTCACAAATTGCGAGAACATAATTTCCACGTTACTCGCATCGGCGAGCCTGCCTTTCCCATTGGACATCTCTATCCGGCCAGGCAGGGGTGACGCAAAAGTTAAAAGTGAGCAATACACAATGACAGGTCCGGCTCTGCGCACTCGACCGACAATTATCTCTCGAGTATTTCTCGGTTCCCTTGCTTTGCGTTTTTTTGATTTTGGGAAAAACGCTCAAGTCGGAAATGATAACGGACTAGAAAGGACTCACTTGATAGACAACAGACGCTATTGTAGAGCAATACGTCCGGCTTCCATATGTTGGATATCGGTAGACGAACCTCTCGAATATTACCGTATTCCGAGGGATCCCACGTCAAGTAGTGATCGACCCAACTCTGCAAATCTTTCAATCAAATCGCACGTAGTGTTCAGCTGAGATTCGATAGAGATTCAGTAAAATAGTTCTGTGTGGTCTTTCTGAGTAAAACGAGGGTAACCACTGCAGAAGGAATTGTTCGGAGATACTGTTTGGTACTCTCCAGCTTCTCTCCTGCTGTGACCTCAACATCGTTGTTTATTTTGTTTATTATAATGTATCTCTCGAGATTTTTGGAAAGCTTTATCCAACTACCTAGCCTTCCGACGTGATCGTTTTCTTCAGGGACCAGGGTTTCACCACAAACCACTTGCTACCAACGAGCATTCGCATGTGGCAGGATTTACGGTGAAACCCTGAAGGAGAGGACCACGTGGAAACGATAGGCTGTTGTATAAGTTTTCCAACAAAACACCTCAAGAATCAGCGGGCCTCCACAAGTCATTGCACATACAAGGAAATGACACTGAAATTTTGGCTGGTTGGCCAAGGGAATACTATGTCAGAGCGTGAAACGTTTATTTGCACGTCCGGCATGAAAAATACATTAATACACTGGTGTGCAAAACTTAGGGACGAAAGCAACTTTCGATCACTGTGCCTCTGCCAGACAACATAGCTCGATGAAATTCATATCATATCAAGAGAGAACCTTAACGATATTGTACAGAAAGCAACTGACAGAAACTCGGAATAAGACGAATTGTTATGACATTTTTATTCAACCATGTCGATTACACATAAGTCTTCACGATTTATCCTGGTACTACAAAAGAAGTTACACGGATCCTAATAGGGTGTGTGATCACCACGGACAGCAATACATGCTCTGCACCGCGATCCCATACTCTCCACGAGGTTGGTAATGAGTTC